TAAACTTTTATGATGTAGATATTGTTCTTCGTATATGAAGCATTTGAGAAATATGTCTAAGAATGTCAAAATACTACTCTTTTTCCAGAAATCAAATAATTGTATATATATATATATAAATGTACGGGCGAGCATAAAAAAGCGATAAGTTACAGAATAACAATGTTTCTTCCCCATTTAAAATATATAATCTATGTCAGGTATGGATAAAAGTATTGGAAGAGTCTATATGACATCTGAATTGTGTATGTGAGGAAAGCACAGGAAAGATGTGACCGTAAGTAGAGTTTAGGTTTAACTGAAGTCGCACGAATTGGGGCCACTCCATACTTATTCTAGATTTATTTTATACTCGCTAATCGATATGCACAGTCAAAGTATCGCGCAAGAACGATACGAGTCTAGATGAAGTATAGAAGTGATATAAATCAAGTATAAGACGATAGCACGACTGCAAATTTTAATTCACGCTATAAGATTTATGGAAGATCGCACGATTAATGTGAACGAAGATATATAATTTTTAAGCTGATAACTAAACCATGAAATGAAAAGTATCTCTAGCTAATTCCGGATATTGAAAAATTTTGGAAATCAATAAATTTTTTTTAATACTATTTAAAAATTAGTGCGATCGATCGATGAATTAGGCGTCGGGACGTTGATTGGAGGTAATCATCGTCTCGGGTAGAGACTTTGGTCCCTTTAAAGAAAATGCAGAAAATAAAATTTGTTACTCTCGTCATTCGCTTGTTCCTTCACATAATCATCCCTTATACAAGAAACGCTACATTCTCTGAAATGGGTTTGCGGAACACAGCGGTGATTACTCAGCCACTTATCATAATTCCACCTCCTCTTTTCTTGGCCGGTCGATTTTCAAGATTTTTTGTTCTTCTCTTCGTTTCGTCCTCATTCTCGCCGTTACTCCGTGAGAAACGAGGGATGCTCTTGATCTCGGTCTATTTGAAAAAAAAAAAAAAAAAGGGGAATTTAAATATTTAAACCAGCGGAATTCTGCGAGAGGGTAGAATGTCGACGGTATGCAAACAACTCACGGCAAATATTACCGACTCTGAGAAGACTACCTAAAGTAGCTGTACATCGTTCAATTGTTTCTTTTCTATTTCACAATTCTAATGCGTATACAAACAATGAATCTTCGTATCGGTTTAATTTTTCTTTTAAACATTTATTTCTGTTTACATTAACAACAATTATCTTGTATACAATTATGAAGCTACTGTAAGGTCTCGAGTAGAAATTTTCATCTAAAAAAAAATCACTCCACGTGGACACTCCGATGGTTGTGAAAGATTAGAGACACAGAGCTCAGAGTCTCAGAGAAGTACAGCTTAAATATTACAGAAGTACGATTCGAGTCTTCGAAAAGCACAGTCAAAAATTATGTGGTATCATACGAATAATAATAATATTGGGAAATCAAGAAATTATGAGCTCATATCAAAGATCATACTCATTGGCCACGTATGTCATATGCTTGAGCTCATTAGTGACACGAGTCAGCAATAATATAGACATGTCCGATATTTGAGTTTTCGAACAATGTTTACATATGACATTTGTGTTAGTAGAAAAATAGGATTTATACTTAATAGAATGAAGAAAAATCGTCGATTGAGTAAACAACGTAAAAATATTGTAAAATATTTCTATTTCAAATCTTTTTTCGAAATAGCACAGTTCTAGAATACCTAAGGTTCTTTGCTCATTTCTCTCGAATAACAATGACGTTTAAACAAGTGGGTTATCCCTCGCCGCGAAGTGCTACGGGATTTTGTAAACGTAGCGGAACACGAAAGACAGAAGAATTTCGTTAAGTAGCATAGTTATACCATATAACCGAAAGATCAATGTATCCCGCAACTGTGGATTTTATCGGGCGATTTACCATCTCGCGAGTTATCCAGACTCCGTTGTACGTATTTGATTCCCTTCATCAATATCTCAGTGCTATAGCCAATCCTGTTCTGGAATGACAAACACCACAGAGATCGTTCTCCATATTTAATGTTTCGCCTGCGGCCATGAGATTTCAGGCGGCCGCTTCTGATTTCGGTGAACCAGGAATGATCCTAGTTATTCGTTATCCCGAAGTTCGTCAATCAAACCGCATCGATTTAGCATGTCGGAGCATTAATACTCTGGCATGTGACGTTAGGCGGAACCGTTCGTACCAATAGCTGCACATTCAATTTCATATTACCAACCATCACGTAAACAAGAGATACGCACAAAAGCATTACTTTCATCTGTAGAACCAATCACGGTATAAATTAAAAACAATTTATGTAAATTGTATAATAATGAAAAATTTATATTTTTCGAAAATTTTGTTTACATCTTTTTTTCTTAAATTTCTATTCGTATACGAATAATGGATATAAATAACTTATGAATTGCATATGAAAAGAAAATACGCACTGATCTCATCGACCACGAGTAATTGGCTAATTCTCGAGATCATTATGTCAAAGATGCAATTCAAAATCTTGGCTCTCTATCTTTATGGTTTTGCGGTCATAATTAATTTTGGCCGTTATACGCGCGAGAATTCAGACTGTGATAGAAATTCAGACAGAGTGCAGTCCTATCGCAGACACCATCTTGTCTCTTCCGAAGAATATACGAGGCCTTAAGGCGAGTTTGTTCTGTTTTTTGGACCTCGTTCTCGTCTGGGACGCGTGCCGACGTCGCTCGTCGCTTTTAATGAGGCGTCGCGACGTTCTATTTGCATTCAAAGCTACGCCCCTGTACCACTACTGTACGCACATGGTGTATATCTGCATTTCATGAAATTAAAAAAAAAAAGTGAATGCAAGACCCTGGTGAAATTGGACTGTTTTTGACAAAGTTAAATGTTTTTTTGACATTTTGAAAATTTCATATCCGTTAACACAGATGGTGATCGGGCAATTTAGTTTTTCGTTTGAAAAAAATTCTGTTGGATTGTCTCAGATTTCAACGTACTGTAAATAAAAGCTATTACTAATTGATACTTAAGATTCGTCAATATCGTCCAAGGATTTTTTCTTAGTATTAGTCAATCGATTTTATATGATTAAATTGGATTGATTCGACCGAGGTAAAAAAGTTACTGTAATTCCTTAATACATGGTTACCGTTATAATCGTCGCTTAATCATTTAATTGGCATGTTCATATTTTACTGTGGTTAAGTATACTGGCCGTATTGATTTTCCAATCTTTAAGTGTTGCCTGCCTGAATGAATGTTGCTCACCGACTGCTAACGTGTCTCTGATCGATTTTCAGAGAAATTATACAGGGATTAAGGGTGCCTATCGAAAGCTTTAGGGGTTGAAATCGCCATTTCAGCTTTTACATGGTATACAATGTACACTGAAATTTGTTACGGTATTTGTGAAAAGCATCTTTAGCGTTACGTGCGGAACAGGTCAAAAGGAAGCTACCATATTTCCAGTCATATCTTTTCAGAAATTATTTTATTATTTCTTTTGTTTCTTACGTCGTCAACGTTTAACATCATTTTACAAAACAGATAACGAAACTGAAATTTCTCCTTGGAGCAATATTTTGATTACTTCAATGTATATATACTACGCAGTACGTAGCTTATTAATTATATAATCCGTTTAACAAAGTTCAAAGTATCTCTCGAATTTGTATGTTTCCAGCAATACGGTATCGCCAAAAGTATCGTGAAATGTCGTACTTGAAAATTTGTAGGTTAGAAACAGTCTTTCAATTTTAGATAGGCGAAAGAGTATCAGCACCGTGTCGTACGGTGTCTGAACTTTTTTGAATTTGCTGGCAGTAAATTAGCTCGTTAATGCATGTCAATATAATGTTCTTTGGAGCAGCAGCAGTTACCTTGGTATTCGTTATACGCCAATTCCATTGAAGAGGCAAAAGGGGTTTGCCGAACTGATACTATATTGAAACAACGACATATTACGTATTGCACATTATGAACAGTATACAGTGGATATCTTTGGTGAAATAATGATAAAATAATCCAACAATGCATCAAGAGGCTTGAGATACGTTCTGAGACTCACTGCCAGTACCGCGAGTATGGTTGTGTCTCACTCAGTTACATGTAAATAAACAGGGATGCGACGATACTCGTAGTACTGACAGTCGAATTCGGAACGTATCCTTGGTAGAGTCTTATACTATAGTGCGTATAGCGTAGCTCTAGTCAAAAAAATTCAGCGACTCCGTATTGTAGAATGTTGGAACAACGATTAAAAATGAAAAGTTAGTTTGTCAAAGACAGTGCATCAGTAAGTAAATATAAGCACGGTATCAAGTCAGTTGACGTTAATAAATTTTTCATACGCAGTCGTCTAGTACTTGATATGAAATTGCTTAATCGTATAAATATTTGTAAAGTGGGTGCACAGTGGATAACTAATTTATTGTGCGTACCATATTAAAAATATTAATTACGAATGGTTATGTTCACGAACCTTTTAATTTTAGTGTCAAGTTGTTTCTCTTCCTTTTCGTATAATCACACTTGTCGCCAAATTCTGATTTAAAAACTCTTAAAGAAAACGGCTTATATTATTAAAAGGTTATTTGTACCATATTTAAGTATTGTATTTAAATAAATATAAAAGGCTAGAAATAACACATATTTACCCATAAAATAACATGAAAATGTTTTACAACGATGCCGCCAGACGAACGAATGTTGTGTTTCTTGCGGCTTCCGACAGATAGCAGCAGCATCACTGAGCGCACGTGCCATATCCCCTCTTTACGGTATAGTGCATAAACCCCACTGCTAGGAGTATCCCTACGACGTTTCACGGAAACAGCCGAAGCATTCTCTGCGGCAGTGATCGAGCGATGCTCTTCCCCTATGGTGCTAGTACCCCCACTTCATTTTTAGCGGTTCTCCCCACCGTAGGAATCATCGGCTGCATCCCCACCATATACTATTCCATAGAGCCCTCACTGGTGAAACTGTTCTGCCTGCAGAGTCGAATGTACGCTCGCGCAGTGCAGAGGTGGTGTGCGTTTTTCCTGCGTTACGTTTGTTGCTCTCGCGGACGCCATTGTTACCAAGCCCATTCGGTACGACGCTCGGTGAGTTCGCTTCGACTACTGACAGTGCAAACGTGCGCGCGTTGCTCTGTCCATGGAAACCCGGAAGAGGCATTGAAGCTTCATATTATGCCGAGAAAAAAGCAATACTTTTAGGACGGAAGGAGATGTCTGTCAACTAAATAACGACTGTTCGACTTTTTCCATCAGAAAATCTGCAGCCGCTTCTGCTGCTTACTCCTTTGACAGGTGTCGAACGCGCTCGAGTGAATTCGAGAGGGAGACTGAATTTCCGCGTACGCGCATTCGAAACTTGTACTCCCTTTAATAGTGATACCTTAATTTCTCTCTTCAACCCCCGAGACTTCCCATTTCCGCATCCACTCACATTTATGTGTTAACAGTGCAGTGTAAGTGCCAGTGCATTATGTGATTGTGTCTCTTAGCAAGGCTATTTTTTTTCTTCGCCAACCCGGTCACCATCTCAAATCATCTGTCAAGGTCAGTAGCAATATAAAATACCGTGATGGCCTTTAGCTCTTCTTTCTCGTCTAATCAATAAATTCTTGCAAAGTAAAGTGATTGTGCTTTTGGCACATTTTGTTTTTACGTCAATTGACTGATTGTATCCTCGTTATACAATTGCCATTATTTCACTTGAAATATTCAACTTCCATACTTTTCTCTATCTTTCGCCTTGCTTCTTACGTCGATCTGATTACTTCCCCAACGAGTCGCGTCATTACGTTGTTTTTTTTTTTTTTTTTTTTTTTTTTTTTTTTTTTTTTTTTTTTTTTTTTTTTTTTTTTTTTTTTTTTTAATTTCAAGCGTTGACAGTTAGCGACATTTCACTTTCCTAGCAAAGTTAAGAAATAAACACGGAACTTTGTGCATTCTGAGATTGGATCGCACGATGATAATTTCGTTCCCGAAGCAAATGTCCGATTACCACCAGTCTATAAAAAGCGTAAAAAGTGTAATGGCAAATGCATATAAATACAATAAGAACGACGCCGCTACTTTCCTGTTAATCAGGTTCAACATAATATATCAAATTATTTTACTGGGCTTTTAAAACCGGAATGTACTTATTACATTATAGAATAAAACAAGAAGGGAGACCATGTTCAGAGGACACGGCATTAGGCGATTCTCCTATAAAAAAAATAATCTGATTGCGTTGCAATAAATGTATCTCGATAAGTATTACATGACACGTTATCGCCAAAGTTGTAGCAAGAAGCCGCAGTTGGGTTTCTCTGATCAAGTAATATTTTGCGAATTTCACGGCGGGCAGTGAATCAATGAAATAAAACTACTGAAAAATCCTTACGAAGGATTCGTATAGCCATGCGTTTCTCAGAGCAGAAGTAAAAGGTCAGGCCGTTCGTTATTATAGTGAGTAACGACATAATCATTTACATAACCGTAACCAAATCTGAAAGAGCCCGACGTGAATCGAATGAATTCCTTTATACACCGGTTGGGTATTTTGAATTTCAAGGGATCCCCGGCAACCTGTGTAAATAAATCGCATGGCTACCCACTACGAGCGCCCTAAGATCAAGCAGGATGATTTTCGTGCCTCGTGTCATCTTCGGTTTCTCTACGGTTTCCATGAAGAAAGAAGCCAATCTCCACGAAGGATTCAGGTCGAAAATAAACTGCTTCAGATCTTTCCTCCTTTTTTCCTTCACTCAGTCTTTCTCTCTGGTATATCTTTTTTTTGCAATCCCGCTAGACTTTTGTTAAATCCTAAACGACCGGCTCGCATAACACCTGGCGCTCTTGGCGTCGTCGCGTTTACAAAATTACTGAAAAGATCACGGACGGAAGGGAGGCAGATGACAAACAGGGAGACTTGAGAGAGATAGAAAAAATGACGAAATCAGTCTCGACAATATAAGATATTCGATCGCACGATATTCTAACATTAGTTTTCTCGAGGCTTCGAATAAATATTTTCAGTGTTATTTTCTTTGCACATACAACGTTAATCGATACGCTGTAATGTAGCTCTCGCAGAATCTAATCTTCGTCTCAATTAGCAAAGAGCAACGTGCTAAAATTAATTCTGCGACAATGACAAAAATTCGATCTCTTTATTAGTTCTACGACTCTTTTCGAAATGCATCAAGTAAATTCCCCTTCCTCCCCCCTCTTCCTCATATCACGGAATGCATTTACACGTGCATTCCTAGAACATATCGAACGCCTTAGACGTCCTAAGGATAAAGCGATAATTGAAATTAATTTTCTTGGCTCTACATCCTCCCGCGAAATTGACCTAACCTAACGTCGAAATACGTAATACGATAGCAAAAGTGGACTCGGCTTCTGAATTTTCTATAAAATTTTGCATCTCCCTATAATTAATTTCGAAGGGTCTAGTTGCTTTTATACGATATAATAAAGTTCCACCATGTCTCTTCGGTATCGCGTACGAACCTTTGCAGTTCTTCCCGTCTGGAAATGCTGCGCAAGAACTAACGCAAAGCTGCTAATGACTCGAGAACAGTTCTCGTTCTCATTTAGTACGTATAGCTATAGTGCCTATACTTCTGACACGTATGGCGCATTTGACCGCTTTTAAAACGCACCTTTTCTCTCTAACGTTTTTCGTTCCCCAAGCAACGCATCGCGATGCTCCTACGCCAGTGCCGTAATTCATTTAAAATCCTTTTCGCTCGTGTCCGTCGTTTTGCCAAGGAATTAACGTCAGACGGGTTCGACTAATGATTTTTCTGCGGTGAACAAGTAGAAGGTAGAAAATCGAAAAAAATATATAAATTGAGCGATGAGTATCGGTAGCAATTCGATCGTCGTATACATGCCTGTACAATATATAGCTGTATACCATGCAACACACGTGTAACGTACCTAATTGTGTCCAAGATTGATGTTTTCTGTTGTATTCTTATTTAACACGAAAAAGGTTTTCTGTCCGAATTATTATTATTTCCAAATCAGATAGTCATAATTTTTTTGTAGTATTATCTCGTCAGGTAAAATACTACTAGAAAGTCGCATGCAAACGAAAAATTATTTACACGATAAAGTCCGACGCTTTCGGTGTTATCGACTTCCACGATGTCATAGGCCCTGATAAGATTACTTGCGGGAAATCTATAAATGGGATCAGTAACAGATTCGCTGTGTTTACGGTGCGCTGAGGCTAACTTTTGTTTTGCAATTATCTGCAGTGGTGTATCTATCCGCGAAGAAATGATAACGTATCAGTGATATCTCGGAACAGTCTGGCGTACGATTCTTCAATTTCGATCAAGTACTTTTGATATCAATTCAGTATTAATCGAGTCCGAGTTGATTTTCGTCTCATCGAAATCTTCTTATGGTCCTGGTCAAATCGCTTTACGCGACAAACGGATCCTTTATCGTCAGATACTTCCGAGTATCAGACTGATCGAGGGACACATGCGAGACTCCTCCGAGACATCTCTGATACTTTATCATTTCGTTTAGGGATATACGAGTATCAGGTGCCTGAGACAAATGGAGACTGTCGTTAACAATTACGTTGATTAAATATCACATTATTTCGTGTATTGATGATTGCTCAATATTTTTTCGATTTCTCTTATTATCGTCACGTATATTTGTTTTTTTGCGAAAAATTGAAATTGCATGGATTGAAATTAAAAAAAAATTTTTTCTCCCACGATATTGTCTGCCTCTTTTAACGTTCTTTACCTTCTTCACTTTCTCGACGAAACAACGCCGGACACGTATACTCCGATTAATAATGCACGCTACTTTCCGCGTATCCACGTTGTTGGTCTGCTGCACAGCGGCTTTGTGTGTCTTGTGACGTAGGATAGGAGGCCGTACAGCTACACGTGACGTGTCTATACGTCCACAACGTGGACCTATAGCCTTTCGTACCGGGGAACATCCTTCCGCGCAATTGTTCCCTGTGCGATTCACTTGAAACGCGTATCCAATAGTTCGCGTAATTGTCCGTCCCACGGTACACTGCGAACAAGCTTTCAGAATGGGGTCGATCTGTCAAAGGTCGAATTAGGATCCGACCACAAATGACAGAACTACACGGAAGGAAGTTTCTTTTGTACGCAACGTAAATTCGTAAAACGCGATTATGGCTGACTTCAGAATAGATATTTTCTTCTTCCGATCTACGTAAAAGTTTATTTATACGGGTAAAAGGAAATTTAAGTTATCCTGCTATGAGTTTGGTGATCAGTTTGTTAGACTCTTTATGGAAATTCGTTTCTCTCAAATATATACCAGTATTTAACGTCAGTGGTGTCGCTTGTCTTGTTTATTAATGTTTTCGTCTTGTTACGTAAAGTCGCTCTAATCGGGCATTATTTTTGTCCGGTCGGTGCTATTTTTGAGATTGTTTTTTTTTGCCCGCGTAATTGGATCGTTTCGGAATCTCGAGCGAAGAGGGGTCGCTCACGTGAAAATACTTATGGACAAATTAGGTTTGCGAATGTAAATAAAGGCACAAAGGTATAACGGGACGAACGGGATGCAGGAGTGTCGTTTTTAGGGGATCGCCGATAACGAAAGTCGCATGGTGGATCGATAGTGACTCTCTCGGACTTACGTAATATGTAAATGTAGCGTAAAGTCGGCAGTCGAAGACGTATGCATTAAGAGCGCATGTGCTGCGACCTATAGTAGAGGATACCACTCGAGTTGGCATACGTGGTTCGACCCACTTGCAAACTCTTTTCTTTCTTGGACATTATTACCCTATGAGTCATACTTTCTGTCCGGATGTACTTAGATCGGGGGTACGTAGCGCTCTGGGTGCTCTCCTGGTGCCTCTGATATACCGATTCCAGTTATTTCCGGTTGGCCGAATTTCACGTAAAACCCGACGATGAATCTCAGGAGTCTGCGGTTTCGGAGGTTTAATGCTTTTTTTTTTTTTTTTTTTTTTTTTTTTTTTTTTTTTTTTTTTTTTTTTTTTTTTTTTTTTTTTTTTTCGAATTCGCTCGAAACTCACCGCTCGCGCGCACTGATTTCAATGCGGCACCACGGGCACGCCTATCGGCCGTGTTTACGCAAACGTTAATCCTGCCGCAGGATATCCGCCCTCGCGCTAGCGACATTTCGTTCGAATCACTTTTTGTTCTATCGAGAGGTTCACGTGGTGGAAGGATCGATCGGATTTCATCCACGAGCTAAAGGGATTTAATGGTCTGCGGCGGATGAACCTTGTTTTCTTTCTTTTTTATATTTTCATTTACCGGCAACACAGACACGTTCTAGAGGCTGTTGCGTTACGTTCAGCGATTGTGTGTTCTTGGCGCGTTATCCATATAGATTGCTTTGCTTTTTTTCTTCTTCTCTTATGTATCGAATATGACACCCCAATCATCCCTTCTTCTTCGTCGCCTCGACCTTCCAGTTTACGCTGCCTCAGGATCATCGGGGAATATAAAAAAATGAGAAAATAAGATAACATTATTGTTATTATCATCGGCGAAGAATTTTCGCTCGGTTATCGA